ACACTCTTATGTAATACAACGTATGCATCTCTTGTTCGGCAGGCCTTATTTTTATATTAGTTTATCTATTATAAAATATAGTATGCTTTAATTTAAGGGTCATCTATCTATGACATCCATAATTGAATCGGTTATAAGCTGTTCCAACTCATTGTGTGGGGAGAAGGGTCCACGCTGTACCTTCCTAACTGCAATATGCTTGTCCAGGGGCGTAGCGAGGGGAGGGGAGGGGCGGGGGTGCGGACCGCACCGGGTGACACCATTTAGGGGGGTGACACAAAGGCAAAAAATAGCAAAATATATAGAGAAAAAAATGAGGGGTTGGGGGTGCAAATCGAAAGTTTGGGGGGGGGGGGGGTTCAAATCGAAAACTTGAAAGTTTGTCCCCGTAAGGGTCGCAACGCCTCTGGGGGGGGGGGGGGGGTGACACCATTAAGTGCCGCACCGGGTGACACCCGAACTCGCTACGCCACTGTTCTTGTAGGTTATCAAAACCAAATGCTGTTATCATATTAACATCATGTATATCATACATTTACACTTCTGTGCTCGCTTTTAAGCAACAGATCTTTTCTGTTGTAAATTAAACATTATCAAAACTTTAGAATTGGTGGAATTTAGCTGTTAAGGGCTCGATTTGTTTGTGAATTAATGTTGGTTCATGAAAAAATAATTTTATTCGGGCATTAAAAAGAGGTTATGGTGGTATTGGAGGTAGGACACAATGGTTACTTTTATGCCAATAGTGGTCATATCATTCATTTTTCTGGAGCCAATATGTCGGGAGTCATTTTGTCAAAAGCCAATATGTCGGGAGCCCAATTGCCAGGAGCCAATATGTCGGGAGCCCATTTGTCGTTAGCCAAAATTTCGTGAGCCCATTTGCCGGGAGCCCATTTGTCTTGAGCCCTTATGTCGGGAGCCAATATGTCGGAAGCCGCTTTGTCGGGAGCCAATATGTCCTGAGCCTATTTGTCAGGGGTTAATATGTCGGGAGTCCATTTGTCGGGAGCCTAAATGTCGGGAGCCCATTTGTCGGGAGCCTATATGTCGCAAGTCAATATGACGGGAGCCCATTTGACGGGAGCCAATAAGTCGGGGCCCTTTTGACGGGGCTATTTTGACGGGGTCGGTTTGTCGGGAGTCGATTTGACGGGGTCGTATTAACGGGGCCGTTTTGACGGGGCCGATTTGTCTCGGGCCGTTTTGACAGGGCACCTGCTGACCACACTATCTCTTCATATGCTGAGGTTTCAGAAGCAGATGAACTCTACTTCATCTGTCCCATGTATCTTTGTCTCGAACATGATGATAATGATGATGATGATGATGGTGGTGGTGGTGTTAATGATAATGATAAGGATAATGATGGTAATGCTGATGATTATAATGATGATGATGATGATGATGATGATGATGATGATGATGATGATGATGATGGTGATGGTGATGATGATGATGATAACATTAGAAATCATATAATATAACTATAGGTCTATCCCAATCCACTTTAGAAGCCAATAACTTTTTGTTTCTTTCTTTACGGACACCAGTCTCGAGTTGGAATCCAAGTTCGTCATATAAAATACCTGAGCCCACCCAGCTCTGGTTGGTACCTCATAATATACCGAGGTCCCAGAATCAGGTGAACTCTACTTCACTTGCCCTATGTACCGTCCGGTTAGAGGGTACAGCTTAGAGGGTACAGCTCTAGTAATCGAATCGTTCACTTCCGTCCGCAGCTTAGCGCATGCGTGGGCCGGAACCAGACTGGTTCAGTAGGTGTCTTTCATAGCCAGGCAGGCCTCAGCACGGCAGACTCCGACTAACTGGCTTGGATATCGGTTTGATTACTTTATCAGTCGCTTCTGTCTTTCGGTTCTCACAAGGCTTATCTTTCACCCCAAACGAACCCAGAGTCCAGTACCTTATAGCTCAACCGTAGTAAACTAATAACTAACATACTACGTCACTCAGGTCAAATTATTGCATACTGACAGGTAGAGGAATGCATTCTGAATAAAATAACATTCCCCATGTAACGACAATCGTAAAGGGCGGCCCTTGGGCAGTGGCAAACATGGAATAGTCGCCACGGTGCTGGCTACAGCGCGGCTGTGGGGTTGGGCCTGGTGCCCAAGCGGCTGCCCGTATACTTTCTACCTTACCTATTCTCACTGTTCTCTGATGAGTTTTTTAATCCTATTTAAAGCTGTTTTTCTTTACAGTATAATATTTTTATGAGTTTTAAAAATGAAACTATACAATTATTAATCATTGTGCATGGAACTGGAGAGCCGCACAATGACATCAATGGAGAAGCATGCGAGCCGCAAATTGCCGACCCCCGCCCTTAACATATTATTTGAGACTTCAATATTTTTTTTTTCTTTCCTTTTTTTTTTCTGTGAGACTTGTTCAGTAAATATGCAGAATTTTTTTTTTTTTTTTTTTTTTTTTTTTTTTTTTTTTTTTTTTTTTTTAAATCACAACCAATTTTTTTTTTTTATTTCCATATACATGCATTTTTAAACACAATTTTTTTTATTACAAAAAAGAGCAATACATTTTACACAATATTCTTATTAAAGTGAGTTGGGAAAATAATTTGTAATATTTTAGAGACTAATAACACCACGAATCGACACTATAGAATTAGGTAAATGTAAAAATTACTTTTTGTAAGGGGATATCTATTTGTTACTTGATAGTAAGGTTAGCTGTAATTTTTTAAAGCCATATTTTCTTCATCTATTTAAAAAATGAGTTTTTAAAAAAAAAAAAAAAAAAAAAAAAATTGGTGTTCACATAAAAGAGTTAGTAAAGTTAACGAAACAACTGTAAGTGTTAATTTGGTGATAATACAATGAATACAAAAGGAGTACGGGTCATTGGGGTCATTTGTACGTTGTGGACCAAAGTACCTTACATATATGATAATAGTAATATAGTAACAAATGATAGCTTTACAATGTTTGTAAGCTTTATAAATTAAACAATACACAAAAAGCAACAATAGGGAAATAAAATGCCAAATGATAAATGATGCGACACAGAGTGGGGACATGGGGGTTGAGGGGTGGGAGTTACATTGATGTTGTTAGAAATGTATTTGGATAATACATCATTGTCACTGTTTAACATAGTACTTCATCACAGGGGTGGTGGTGATGGGGACGAGGGGATGCAGTTTTGAGGGGAAATTTGATATTGGGATCATGAGGTTTAGGGGCGGGGGGGGGGGGGGGCGGAGAGGGTGTGATGAAAGGGGGATGTGTCAGTTCGATTAGGCGTTCCAGGTGGCAAAAGCAGTGTAATATGTTCTTTACGTTTTGGTGTTGTTAATTATGGTATATGTGTTTGAGTGCTGTCATTGTCGAGTCGTCTACGATAAATCAAGTCTAGTACGTGTCCCGTAAACTGTACCTTGTCGTGTTTTGCTTTTATTCTGCTGTTCCAAATAGTCTGTCTATATATAGCTACCGTCCTTGCTTTTTGCTCTAGGTCCGTCCTATCTCTTTGTATTGGGATTTTGTTTAGATTTTGTTAATATCGATATAGTCATAACTCTAAATATGCAGAATTAAGAATACGAGCTGGCCAACGACTAATGAGAGAAACGTTGTTTAATCTTCTTGGTATTTATATGACAGCTGGTTGATACTAGTGTCTAATAATTATTGGATTAAACATTAACATTTACTAGGAGTTGTAATTAACATTTTGTTATTAATCACCAAATGTTTTAGATCTTTTTCTTGTAACTTTATTTTTTTTTAATTAATGATAACGTTTGTTTACTTTTTTTTTTTTTAATTATCTATTAATACTTTTTTTTTTCATTTTATTATTTAATTTTATAATTATCTTTCTTTAAAAAAAAATATTGTTTGTTATTTCCCCTGACAAAAAAAGTTCTACGCGCGAGATATTATGACAGAAACAGAAGACGTGAGCAAACAGATGTGAACTGTGTGACACCTTGGGTGTGATGGTTTTGAGGTGTAGGTTCCTGAAGGTGTCTATTGTGTCTGTTGGAGCGTATTTCCTACACCAGGGGTCTCCAATCTACGGCCCGCGAGGTGCTCTCATACGGCAGGCGGCGATCTTTTAGTTCACTCAATAAATGTTTGTTAGAGGTGGCTGAGGAACTTTGCCCAGAAAATTCAAAACAATCTGAAAATGTTGCTTTGGGTTCAAATATCACTGCTCGCCGTGTTGCAGACATAGGTGAAAACATCGTGACTCAAATAGCGAAAAATGCAAGCAAGTTTCGCCATTTTTCAATTGCAATGGATGAGTCGCTGGACAGCTGTTCCACCTCAACTTTTTGTGTTCATTTGCGGTGTGGATGAAGACATGAACATAACACAAGAGCTGGCTTCCTTATATAGAATGTATGGCACTGTTACCATATATAGTTCAGAGACTGAAAGATACAATCACAGAATCGCAAAATTTACCATATTTCACAGCAGTAAGATGGCTAATTTGCGAGAAAGTCCTGAGCAGAGTATCTAAGTTTAGAAAGGAAATAGGTGACTTCCTGGAAAGTAAAGGCAAGCCTCAGCTATAAATGTCTGATGAAGAAAAGGGTATAGAAATTGGCCTCTGCTGCAGACATAACTAGTCATTTAAATTTTCTGGACCTAAAACTATAAGAGAGGTAAACAACAATATGATAACAATATTAGAATTAAATCAACCATTTCGGGTTTTTAAAATGTATAAACGAAATTCCACAAAACTCTATGACAAGATTAAAGAGCTCAAAATTCCTAAAAAAATTATTTATATATATTAAAAAACTTAACAAAAATTAATCTTTTATATAATATATCACATAAAAAAATTCAACAAGCTTTATAAATGCTATATATACATATTGAACCAAAACGAATATAATTATCTAATCATATACAAGTTACAAATATATATAACATTATAGAATAAATAGGTTTTCAATCATCGAACTTTGTAAACAATGTCACGTGTTCATACTAAAGTCGCGTGCTGGACTCTCCGTTAGGTTGTCTGTCTGACGTGGCACCAGTGTCTGTCTTCTCGGTAGTGTCTGTCTGGAACCGCTTGCAGAAGAAGACTTTCTGCATGGCGCGATCATAGGGTTCTAAAGACCGTAGCGGCTGGGGTAGGAACATCCAATCTTGGAGCTTTCTGGGCAGGCTCTGGGGGCGTTTAGCCTGCAGGCATTTGATGACGCCGATGATGATGAAGAGAAGGCAGACGGGCCCGAGGACGCCGAGGAGGACGTACCAGCCCGGGATGGAGAGAGCGAAGACTAGGGCGGGGAAGAGGAAGAACATGAGGAGGATGTAGACGATGGCGAACCAGCGGTACTCGGCCGTGCAGTTGCCTAGAAATTTGGCAAGCGGGATGGGGAAGCGGAGGTAGGGGATGGGGTAGAACAGGAGGATGCCGGTGATGTTGAAGAAGAGGTGGCAGAAGGCTGCTTGTAACGCGTTTCTGAGGCTGAGAGAATCGCCGTGGTCGTGGTGCCGATGTTTGACCCCAGGGTCAAAGGGTACATCCGGTCGAGTTCGATGACCCCGTTGCCGACGAGCGGGGTGAGGGTGGAGGTGAAGATGGAGGAGCTCTGGACGATGATGGTCAACCCGGCGCCGATGATGATGGCGAGGTATCCGGTGAGGTAGCCCAGCGGTCCGGGAAAGTCTGCGTTGATGAATTTTTTGATGATGAGAGCGATGGGGCCTTGGAGAAGGGAGTGCAGCAGTTTGACAATGGCGACCAGACACAGGCAGAGAATGGTAAGGGAGATAAACAGCATGATTGCTCCAATAGCTTTGTCGTTTAATGTGGAGTACATTCCCTTGAATAAAAACTCACCTAAGGGTTAAAATAAAATTAATCATAAATTACAAACAACAGAATTGCATTAAAGTATTTAATTATAGTTAACTTTTTCAAAAAATTTAATTATATATTTTATATTCATATAAATAAAACCGGGATTTTCGTGAAATTTAGAAAATTATAAATATGTATCAAAACATGATCAATTGCTAATAAGAACTTTGTTTCTATTACCTAACCACGGTGCTTTTAATGTTAATTTCATATAGATAAATACCCAACCTTACAATAACCCTAGCACAGGGGTCGGCAACCTGCGGCTCGCGAGCCGCATGCGGCTCTTTTGATGGCAAGATGCGGCTCTTCAGCTCGATGCACAAATATAAATAATTATTTTATTTTATTTTTAAAGCTCATAAAAGTATTAGTCTGCGACACTCAGTAATGAACGATATAATAATAAATATAAACAGTAAACACTCGCTATTCTATTAAAATATTTAGTGACTCGATATTTCAATGTAGACCTACTTCCTTGTGTCCTAAAACTGAGGTATTTAAATATAAAGGATGCCTGTGTTTGGATCAAATTTATCGGGGCACTAGCGCCCACCACGGTGCTGTATGAAAGCCTTGAGTGTAAGTTAATCACTCACCGTAATATCACCGTTAATCACTTACCGACGGTAAGTGGCGCTCTCGTGAATCCGATAACACTACCGCTGGGGCGTCGCGTAGCCCCTAGCTCGGTTTCATTATCGAATGTCGTATTGTAGGGTGCTCCTTAAAACTAAGGTAGGCGCTTAGTGCTCACGGGATAACCCTGGGCGCCAAATCGCACCCTGCAGGGACGCCGGATGACGCGCCTAATTCAATTTAGTGAGCGACTATAACAACCTATAGTATCCATAGCCTATCGCGCTGTTTAAAATGAAAGTATTGTTGTCCTTTGTGGCTATCGTGTACAGCCTTTAAAAAAAAACAAAGTAGGCGTTATAGTGCTTGCAGGGTCGCCCAATGGACGGATGCCAAGTACTAATATAGCCGCTCTGGAACTCTGGGCGCCAAAACGTGTATTGACAAAAAAAAATTTTTTTTCGCAGCAATCTTCTCGGGAGTATTTTATCTACTCTACAAAGTTTCATGGCACTCTGATAAACTGTGACGAACAGCATACAACCTTTTTTTACCGTATATAGAGAAAAATCGCACCTCTACCCCCTTGGAGTATTCTCAACAATTTTTTCAAGTTTCATGGCGATCGGATGAAAGGTGTAGTAATGCATAAAAGAAAAACCGACACACACACAAACACACATACATTGTTGTATGTGTATATATATATATATATATATATATATATATATATATATATATATATATATATACATATATATATATATATATATATATATATATATATATATATATATACATATATATATATATACATATATATATATATATACATATATATATATATATATATATACATATATATATATATATATATATATATATATATATATATATATATATATACATATATATATATATATATATATATATATATATATATATATATATATATATATATATATATATAATCCTAATTAGAGATCATAATATTAATAATAATAGTATAAAAATGTTGGCGGCTCTTTAAAAACTTGGAAATTTTGTAAATTGTAACTTTTGGCTCTTCGGTCTCAAAAGGTTGCCGACCCCTGCCCTAGCACAGGGGTCGGCAACCTGCGGGTCGATTTTAAAATCGCTCTTGGGTCAGTCGTTTCTTGGTTGTTTTCGTCCATTATTTGTTTGATTTGTTTTGATTTTTGTATGCTTGGTTCTAGTATGAGAGTGTGGTGTGTTTGGTTTTCCGAGCCTATCTGCTCTATTTTGATTATGTTTTGTGTCCCTCTATATTTATATTCTTGTATTTTCGAAAGTTCCGTTTCTATTGAGTCTATTTGTTCATTGTTATTGTTTTTTCCCTTAATTAAGCATCCTTAGTTGTTTTTTTTCTAGTTTAGTTTCTATAAGGGCCGTAACGCTACTAATGATACAAGCATATTGAACTGATATCCGCTTTATGTCTTACTAGGCATACTGCCTAGCTTCGCTTAGGTTTAAAAAAAAATTGTGGAATTGAATGATTAATCAATAGGTGATTGGCTGCTATGTTAAATGCTTAGGGGCCTAAATTTATACAGTGGAATAATTTTGTATATATCAGATAATAATGGAATATTCGCAAACTTATTACTTGCACGGTTATTAGAACTGCAAGGGGTTTCTTAATAGTATCAATTTAATATTATAATAAAATACTTTTGCAATTAATTTTTACATTGTCAGTACAATGCAAAACGTAATTTATAACAAAATATTTATTTAAAACAATGCTATACTCTATGATTTTTTTTTTTTTTTTTAAAGAGAATACAAATTTTTAAAAAATTATTACATTACAAAGTTACTTCCCCTGTTCATAGACAAAATGACCAAATTTCGTATAATGAGAATTTCACTCGCGGTCACTTTTTAGCCGTCGTCGAGGGCTATGAGTGAAACCGACAGTTTTCCCTAAAGGTCAAGCCATTTACCTAAGAGCATGCAAAAAATTAGCCAGATGTAAAGACGGTAAGTGCCCTCAAATCCGTTTTGAAATCACCCTCTGTTTTTCCCATAAAATACAAAGATTATATAGGGAAATACGAGTGGTCAGTTTTGACCCATTTAACGAATTTTCCCGGACATGGCGAGTTTTTTGTGACACCCCGAGGCGTTCTCCTACCACTTCACAAATTTTCAAGCGGGTCGTTGGAGGAAATTTTTTTTCGTAATAGAGCTCATATAAAGAGAAATTCACTCGCGGTCACTTTTTAGCCCTCCTCAAGGGCTTTCAGTGAAACTGACCGTTTTCCCTAAAGGTCAAGCCATTTACCTAAGAGCATGCAAAACATTAGCCAGATGTAAAGACGGTAAGTGCCCTAAAATCCGTTTTGAAATCACCCTCTGTTTTTCCCATAAAATACAAAGATTATATAGGGAAATACGACTGGTCAGTTTTGACCCATTTAACGAATTTTCCCGGACATGGCGAGTTTTTTGTGACACCCCGAGGCGTTCTCCTACCACCTCACAAAATTTCAAGGGGGGTCGTCGGAGGAATTTTTTTTTCGTAATAGAGCTCATATAAAGAGAATTTCACTCGCGGTCACTTTTTAGCCCTCGTCGAGGGCTTTGAGTGAAACTGACCGTTTTCCCTAAAGGTCAAGCCATTTACATAAGAGCATGCAAAAAATTAGCCAGATGTAAAGACGGTAAGTGCCCTCAAATCCGTTTTGAAATCACCCTCTGTTTTTCCCATAAAATACAAAGATTATAGGGAAATACGACTGGTCAGTTTTGACCCATTTAACGAATTTTCCCGGACATGGCGAGTTTTTTGTGACACCCCGAGGCGTTCTCCTACCACCTCACAAAATTTCAAGGGGGGTCGTCGGAGGAAATATTTTTTCGTAATAGAGCTCATATAAAGAGAATTTCATTCGCTGTCACTTTTTAGCCCTCGTCGAGGGTTTTGAGTGAAACCGACAGTTTCCCTAAAGGTCAAGCCATTTACCTAAACGCATGCAAAACATTAGCCAGATGTAAAGACGGTAAGTGCCCTCAAATCCGTTTTGAAATCACCCTCTGTTTTTCCCATAAAATACAAAGATTATATAGGGAAATACGACTGGTCAGTTTTGACCCATTTAACGAATTTTCCCGGACATGGCGAGTTTTTTGTGACACCCCGAGGCGTTCACCTACCACCTCACAAAATTTCAAGGGGGGTCGTCGGAGGAAATTTTTTTTCGTAATAGAGCTCATATGAAGAGAATTTCCTTCGCGGTCACTTTTTAGCCCTCGTCGAGGGCTTTGAGTGTAACCGACAGTTTTCCCTAAAGGTCAAGCCATTTACCTAAGAGCATGCAAAAAATTAGCCAGATGTAAAGACGGTAAGTGCCCTAAAATCCGTTTTGAAATCACTCTCTGTTTTTCCCATAAAATACAAAGATTATATAGGGAAATACGACTGGTCAGTTTTGACCCATTTAACGAATTTTCCCGGACATGGCGAGTTTTTTTGTGACACCCCGAGGCGTTCTCCTACCACCTCACAAAATTTCAAGGGGGGTCGTCGGAGGAAATATTTTTTCGTAATAGAGCTCATATAAAGAGAATTTCACTCGCGGTCACTTTTTAGCCCTCGTCGAGGGCTTTGAGTGTAACCGACAGTTTTCCCTAAAGGTCAAGCCATTGACCTAGGAGCATGCAAAACATTAGCCAGATGTAAAGAGGGTAAGTGCCCTCAAATCCGTTTTGAAATGACCCTCTGTTTTTCCCATAAAATACAAAGATTATATAGGGAAATACAACTGGTCAGTTTTGACCCCTTTACGAAGTTTTCCCAGATATGCCGAGTTTTTTGTGACACCCCAAGGTGTTCTCCTACCACCTCAAAAAATTTCAAGGGGGGTCGTCGGAGGAATTTTTTTTTCGTAATAGAGCTCATATAAAGAGAATTTCACTCGCGGTCACTTTTTAGCCCTCGTCGAGGGCTTTGAGCGTAACCGACAGTTTTCCCTAAAGGTCAAGCCATTGACCTAGGAGCATGCAAAAAATTAGCCAGATATACTGAGCTTAAGTACCCTAAAGTCTGCGTTGAAGTGACCCTCTGTTTTTCCCATAAAATACAAAGATTATATATTGAAATACAACTGGTCAGTTTTGACCGCTTTACGAAGTTTTCCCAGATATGCCGAGTTTTTTGTGACACCCCAAGGTGTTCTCCTACCACCTCACAAAATTTCAAGGGGGGTCGTCGGAGGAATTTTTTTTTCGTAATATAGCCCATATAAGGCGCCGGTCAGTCGAGGTCAGTTTTGACCCCCTCTCCGTAGACTTTTTGCCGAACCGTCACCGGCCCTCGTGTTCTATCGCCATAAGGCACCTTCGTGCCAAATTTGACGCGCCTGCGGCGCCGGGAAGTGCCCTATCGGGCACCCGACCACTTTGCTTTATTTATATAGATTTAAAATCTTCCCAACGTTTGATTTTATTTGATTTTGGAGATGACTGTGTGTAAAATTGTATTATGTATTTTTTTGCTTTTGTGTAGCGGTCGTCTAGAAAATAGTGAATTATTGAGTTTCCAGTGTGTGTTATGCTTTACATGTGTAGACTAGTTTGAAGGATGTTTTAATGTTGTTGATTTAGTCGGCGTGTGGTTTGTCTGCGGTTATTATTAAGCGGTTTCGAATGTCTTTTGGTTCTACAATTTCTAGTTTGTCTTCCACGAAATTAAAGTCCTTTGGGGCTGGGCGTGTTGGGGTTGGCCGTGTAGGGCTCTGGATAGTATCAGTATCAATAATGTTTTCATTTTCTTTACTTCGTGCACTGTCCTTTTTTATTTTTCCTTAAAGGCTTGTTTCTTCTTCCCGGAATTGTTGTCCATTCTCCTTCTGTGGTTGGGGCTATGGCTGTGGCTGGTTCTTGGGCTGGTTATTTGGCTGGTTCTTGGGCTGGTTCGATTTCTGTGGCGTCGTCTGACACATATTCTCTGTCATCTAAAAATTGATCATTGTCGAAATAGTCACCATCATTATCTATCGACATATTGTCTCGTTCCGTTACATACGAGCTTCTGCAAGCGGCCGGTCCGTGTTTGGACGTGCTACATAGGGGGCATATAGATCTCCAACCGTTGAGTTGTAGTAACAAGGTGTAAGTTTCCCCACCGATCTCAAGATCAATGTAAATCCTTTAAAGGAACGTTTGGGTAGAAATCGACTGCCCACTTATCACTCTTACCGATCTTAAGAGTTGAAACTATTGTGTCTGGTTCTGATATTTCAATCATAATTTTGTTGATCATATTCTGGGTAATGGTAGGGGGTACCCATTTTAGGTGACACCTCTGACCGTTTTTGTCCACATGCAGCAGCAAAATGCTGCTACAATAATCCGAATGTTCGCATCTCATTGCCAAATGTAGAGAGTTGTAAATTTCATCTGATTTGAGAGAAATAAACCATTCGCTTGGTTTCCCCAAGTTGTAGACATTAAGAATTTGAGAGCGATTTGCGTTCAGTTTACACGTAAATAGGTCCTCTAATGTGAATTCGTGGATTGGGAAACAAATATAAATGCTCTACACTCTACACTTTAAGTATGCGTGTCAACGCCAGATAGGCTGTTGATGCCGATTTCAGTCTGCTTTTCTTTTTGGATTTACTTCCATAGCCTTCGTCTAACCAAGAACAAACTACAACGCAGCAGTTGTTTGATTTTGGAGTTGTCTCTCCTAGAAGAGTGGCTGTCCCCAGCTAACGAGCCTCATTAGCCCGAGGGTTCGAACTGGAGACTTTTCGACCACGCAGACCCCTATCGTGTGTATAACAAACTTGTATTCTATTTGAGAATTATATTTAATTTTTGTGCCTCAAATTATTTATCACATAATCACCGCGAAAAGGATCACGTCAGTTATATCATGTTAAATGTAGTCTCACGCCGTACCTTGTATATACGCCATATTTACTTTAAAGTGACGTAGTAGTATTTAACATCGGATCACGTTAAAATAATGTCATGTCAGTGTCACGTTACGACCTAAAATAAGATAAACTTAACCTAAAGTAGGATCACGTGGAAAAAGTGTTTAGGCAAGATCACGTTAAAGTGATGTAGTAAGTCGAACATCACACGAAGCGTGAGCACTCTAAAAGCCAATTAAATGTAAAGAGAACAGACCCCCCCCCCCACCCACCCAAAAAATTTTTTTTTTTTTAATTAAAGACATTTTCATAGAAATTAGGTCAAGTCATGGGCGTCGTTATTTTATTATTTTTTTTTTACAAAAATTAAACGCAAATTTCACGTTATTATACTTTGAATTAGCAATACACTTTGAATTAGCACTACACTAAATTCTCCCACACTAAACTCTCCCACACTAAATTATCGCACACTAAATTCTCCCACATTAGATTTTCTCACACTAAATTCTCACACACTAAATTCTCGCATACTAAATTCTCCGACACTAAATTCTCCCACACTAACAATCTCCCACACTAAATTTTCCCACACTAAATTTTCGCACACTAAATTCTCCCACACTAAATTTTCCCACACTAAATTCTTGCACACTAAATTCTCTCATACTAAATTCTCCCACACTATATTCTCCCACACTAAATTCTCGCGAACTAAACTCTCCCACACCAACAATCTCCCAAATCTAAACTCAATACAAAAATAATATCCACCAAAATCACCCGAACATTCAACTCCCCCATATTAGATTCCATCACACAATCCCCCCACCCTACATAATATTAGTGTTAGTCCCGAGAGTACACAAATGTGTAACACATTTCACAGCGGTTTGCTGTCGTCTTTTGTTTGTTGGAAAGTAACTCACTCGTGGGACTTTTGTTTCAGGGGAGAAAACAAACAACGTTTTTTTTTCAAGGGAAGTAATTATAAAATTAAAATATAAAAAGAAGTTAAAAAGTAATTATAATATTTGAAACAAAAATCAAGTAAACTGACTTTAGTATTAATTATAGGAAAATAAATTTTAAAAATTTCTATAAAACATTTGGTAATTTATTACACAATGTTAATTACTACTACCAGTAATTTTTAATGTTAATCCAATAATTAAATGTAACCAGTTTCAACCAGCTGTAATATTTATACCAAGAAGTTTATTAACACTCTGTTTTTTTTCCATACTTTATTCAGTAACCTTATGTCGGCGTATTTTTTTTTCTCGGCCTTTTGGCTAAGACAGGGTCGGCAACCTTTTGAGGCGGAAGAGCAAAAAAAAAAATTCACATGATTTCACAGTTTTCAAAATTTTTTTTTTCAACATTATGGTATTTGATTAAGATTAGGTAAATAGATTTAAAATAAATGGGTTTAAGTATGAAATAAAATTCATATAAAAACATACACATGTTTTCGCACAAAACATAAGTATTTTAGCCAGCTCTGCTAGGAAAATAAAATCAAATTATTTAACTATAGCACTATCCCTACCCAATTTAGAAGTTAATAACTAAAAAACTATGTCACTAAAGTCAAATTAATGCACACTTCCACATAAAACGTGACTTCTGAATGAAATAACAATTAGTATTGAAAATATTTATTTTAAAAATTGCACTTCGGTATTGAAAAGCACGGAGCCACTGCCACGGGGCTGGCCACAGCACAGTTGTGGAGCTGGGCCTTGTGTCCATGCAGCTGTCTCACCTATTGTTAGTGTTTTTTTATCTTGTTTCAAGTTGTTTTTTAAAGTATAATATTTTTATTAGTTATGCAAATAAAAAAATACAATTATTGAACTGGCGAGCCGCATCTTGACATCAAAAGAGCCGCATGCGGCTCGCGAGCCGCAGGTTGCCGACCCCTGGGCTAAGATCAAAGTGTAGTATCTGTTATGGATCTACATCAGGGGTCGACAACCTTTTGGGACGGAAGAGCCAAATGTTATAATTTACCAAATATCCCAGTTTTTAAAGAGCCACTTACATTTTTATTTCAATATTATATTTGTTTAGGGATTTTATTTAGCTTTGCTAGAATAATAAAATCAGTAATCAAAGTATGTAACTTTAATTATTGAATACTAATTACAACAGTTTGGCCTTGCATGTCTTTTGAAAGTTTGTTCAAACCTGGCTAATAACTTGTTTTCAGTTTCAAGCACGCCTCTAGATTTTTATTTGTTAGTTGGCTTATATACTTTGTATTATATTCATGCAAGAAAACGCTTGCTCTGATGAATATGTTGACCCGAAGATCGTCAGCACTTGTTCACCTTACTGTAGCATCCTAAAAGACTTTTCCATGCGTCACATAATAGGGCCTAAACTCGCGGCATTTCTTTTGGAGCTGTCCAGTTCTACAGCGAAACCTGCCTGTGGTACTGGACCTCCAAATCATCTAACTTGCTCTTGAGATCTGTGAACTTACCGCTCCACAAATGTTTGGTTTTTAAATCTAGTAATCAGAGTTTCTTCCAGGCATCTCATATATAATTTATATAGAAAATATATACTTTTAACAGTGTGTCTCCCCCCCCCCCCCCCAAAGAAAGTTTACCGCCCCCCCCCCGGAGAAAAAAGTCTGGAAGAAACACTGCTAGTAATTTTATTTGAAGCGAACCAGCATCAATTCCAAATAGCTCAAAGTTAATCTCAGTTGTTTTTGTGTTGAGAGAATCTACTATGAACGTCAGAGTATTTGCATTTCTTTTGAATTACTAAAATTTCTCAGTGAGCCAGTGGCGTAGCCAGGATCGTCTCAAGGGGGGGTCAAATTTTTACCCGGGGACAAACTTTCGATTTGCACCCCCCCCCCTCAAACTTTCGATTTGCACCCACCCCTCATACTTTATATATATACCGAGGGGTCTGCAGTGAACCCATCCTTCATTTTGTTTATGGTAATGCTGAAGTAATTCATGTTAGTAGTAGCGTTAGTTTTATCATGATATTTTTTTCAGATTTTTCGAAATAAAGTAATTTACTGCTCTCCGTATCTCAAATAAAATGTAGTAATTTTTTTTCGAAATAATCATCTTCTTCAAGCTAGGAATATGCTGGGTTTTCCTTTCCATGCAATTTTACATTTAGCTCGTTTAGTTTTTTGTGATCTCCATGAAGTTTAATGTTAATTCGGGATAGACAATTTAATAGGAAGTACATTGAAATAGGGCGTAACTAAATATTCTAATAGAATAGCGAGTATTTATTGTTTATGTTTTTTTATTCTATCGTTCATTGCCGAGTGTTGCAGTACAATAATATGTTTGTGAAATTTTTTTTTTTAAATAAAATAAAATAGTTATTAATATGTGTGCATGGAGCTGAAGAGCCGCATCTCGACACCAAAAGATCTTAGCCATTTTAGGGCTGGCTGCCGGGGCCGAGAGGCGGTCAATCGATCTACTCAACTCATCAAGCAATCAATTGCAACTCTCGCCAACGACTGCTGTGGGGTTGCGCCCACACATCCCTCGAAGTGCACATGCCCTCGAGATTAGTCACCCAGTACTTGTATTGGGTGGCTTCAAATGCACGAGTGGCTAACTTTTCAATCTTCTATTTTTCAGCCTGTCGACACCCACCTAGGAGAAATCTTAGGTGGGAGGTCTGTCACAATCGCCAGCAAATCAACCCATCTCTCAAAGATCAATCACGCAATCACATCCCTACTAACAACTTTGCCACTACTTTGGCGACACCCACCTAGGAGACGTCTTAGGTGGGAGGTTCCGTCAAATACCAGCAAATGAACTAACCATCTCTCAAAACCAACTCAACTTACCCAAAATAAACACTCGTCAACAGCTTCACTCTACCCATTTCAACTACTAGACCAAGCTCAAACTCTTCACATCTACAACCCTCGACTCAGCAATATCACGAAACGAAAACTAAACATTCTTCTACGTCATTTCGCCCACCTCAATTACTCAACTACGCAAGAATGCCCTATGACACAATTTCACTCTCTTTCAAACCACAATGACCAATAAAGAAGAGCAACCTAGGAAAAACTATATCTCAACGCAAGGACACTACCCCAACTACCCTAAGCTCCACTCCATTCGCTCAACTCTACCATCAACGACAACCATCATCAATCTCAACACGAGGACACTACCTCAACTAATCTGTCCAAGCTCTACACCACTCGATAAACTCTACCATCAACGACAAGACACCAAACTCATCTTCCCAAAATAGGAACATCCTTCATTGACACTCAAACTACAACTACCAACTAAGAATCAACCACTTCTCAACCAAGATTGTAATACGCACAAGAAGCAAGGCCAAAAACGACGAGAAGCGA